ATCAAGAGTATTAGATCGAAGAAGGTGATGGGTTAATTTACTCTAACCTTATGGGCGCTCTAATCCTGCTGCTACTTTCCTTTGGCTAGTTCTTCTCTTGGCCGTTTGTGACATGTTCATGCACCGATTAAATCTCTTCTTCGATGATTGCATCAACAGTGCTCATACAGTACTAGTGTCACCATAAAATAAATACATGTAACTTGAATTGTGTTTCGCGTGGAAGAACGCACCGATTTCATTCGGATTTAGAGGCACAGCTATGTGTAGTACATGAGTCAATAATATGTAAATAATCATGTTGTTCAAAATGTTGGGAAATATCATACGAGATGAGATATTATCCTCATTACTCTTTTATGATCGAGATTCGATCAAGAAAAGTTACTATATCGTGAAATCTTTACTCGCTCTAAATATTGATTCCAAACCATTCAATATGACAAAGAATAATCCGCAAATCGAAAACATCTGCAATACCCAATATGACAAAGAATAACTCTAGATTCTTGGAAGCTATACAAGTAATCCCAGACTTTGATACGATCGAGCTACCAACTAGAGAGGAGTGCAAACTCGTCGATCACCATAAACCCGAGAACACCTTTCTTTAATTTTCACGTATCATAGAAGATGTGGAATTATATATAGAATATTGATCCCTTAAATTTAGATCGCAACAAAATGGGCAAAACAATCTGCTCTCGTTTTGATACTTCCAGACCGCTCTGGCCCTAATCAAAATACTCTCATTAACACCGTGCGTGTATGCAATTCATCATGTCAATTTTCTTCTTCTTGTTTTATCGATTGCAACGCAACATTATGCTAGGTGATTAGTTAGAAATTAACCTGCCTATACATGGGGATGACACTAACATCCCAAAACCCTAAGCTAGAAAGAATTATAGTGTAGAGACTGAGTGGTGCATATTATCCGATTTAAGGAAACGTGGGAAACGGCAACTAAGCTAGTTCAGTACGCGGTTTGAACGATGACTTGATGAGATGAGCTGGAAGTAAAATTCCACGTCGGAATCGACGCGGTACGCCGTCAAGGTAGGCCCCCCGCCGCGCCGGTGATGAAATCTGTGGGGGCCGCCGGAGTGATTCTTATCACCATCGGAAAGATATATCCTTGGCTTTCTTCTTACGCAAAACCTTTTTCTTCCTTCTTCCCACCATCGCACCTTTTCCACAACCCTACCAATCACTCGGTCCGTTTACTCGCTAGCTAGCTAGCTAGCACATTCCACGTATAGTAGTGTTCATAATTTCTCGATATGACTTGTTTTTATCTGATTCGTTTGATGTGTTACACGTTCAGTAGGTTAGACGGAACGGACATGAGTACTCTCCTAGACATAATCCGTCATGATCTGTTTGTGCATGTATTATATAGTGTTTTACTCAAATCAGTTAGAATTTTTATCTTTATTACCTCATATTATTTCAGCTATAATAAAGTTGTATATAAGTGAGAACCTCAACATTCTTGAATAGTTAATTACATAATAAATACTTTGTTCCTTAAGTTTTTTAATTAAAATAGATTAATTTCCAACGTTTTTTTTTTAATTGCATACTAATATAGTTCAATCTACCCGAATGATAAATTACCGACCTCAAACCGACCTGCTATAAGATGGATATTGATATCGAATTACCCGCCGGCACGACCTGACACGTTGCTATTCCTGTAGAGAAGTAACAGCAAACCACAATACGCATACCAAAGCGTGTATTGGTTAATTATCGGTGGTATATTGGTTAGGTTTGGTTGGTTGGTTCTTTATGCTAATCATGAATGCTTATGATGATGATAATACGATACTAGCTAGCTTTAGTTTGTTATTCCTTTAAGTGTCCATTCTTTGTAAGCTTCTTATTTTGTCATTTCTGGCATTTGGCTGGCTTTTTTTCATGTGATTTCTTACACGCGACAAGTTTTTTCGGTACAACTTCCGATACGATTTATCAAATTTTTGTGACGAAGGGATTTGGGAAAGGAAGGAAGACGATGGTGGGCGCCGCAATTGGCGATCGAGGAAGGAAGAAAACTTGCCCCACTCGCAGAGGTCGTCTTCTTCAGTAAGTTGAGTCGTATTCACATATGCTCAACCTCATGGACTGTTCCCTGGTCCTGCCGTCACGTTCGGCCCTTCGTCGGCGGGTCCCTTGTTTTCCGATGCCCCAAACTCCGGCTGCCGGCTGGCTCTCGCAAAACTTGGCTTTTCGGCTTCCCCAAAACCAGCCTTTCAAACTTTTTCATTATTATTCGTTCGGGCCCTCAAGCTAATTGAGTACAAAAAGAATCACGATGAAAAGTAAAAGGGGTATAAACTATAAACATAGATTCTTAACAAAATGAAAAAGAAAAAAAAAGGAGGGAAAAAAACTGCCGCCAAATATATCAATGAGCTACACAGCTGAATTTCGCCTAATTTCAAATACAATTAGGGGTGATTTCGCAAAAAAAGGAAAGATGTTTACTAAACTGTACCATACCGGTAGTCCGCAAAAAAAGGAGTTTATTGGAGCACAAGACAATATAGGATTGTACAATTACAAATGTTAATTTATTAAATCACGATTAAATCAAAATACACTAACATTGATTTATCCGAAACAACATGGTTTTACCATCTTTAAATGTTGGCCCATCTTCCATGCCCTATTTTTTGAATAAAAGGAAGAGGAAGGAAATGTGAGCCAGACGTTGGAGATTAAAGATATAAAATAAAAGGCAGACGTTACATTGGTGTAGTTTAATCAAATAAAAGTTTGAAGTGATAAAAGCTCCAAACGGTAAGCCAAAACCCAAACCGCAATCTAAAATTTTCTATCCGCTGCATTTAAGTACTTGAGTGCATTTGTCACTATCGATACCAAACCACGATTTTCATTACTAAATAAATGACGATTTGTGATTATCAACGTTGCTAATCCTCGATTATTAGTGCGCATTGATATCATTATCGTTCACTTTTGTATTGTGTTTGGGGTTTTGGATAGGGACAATATGCATAATCTAACTAAATTTGTGGTGGCTTTATTACTCCCCTTCAATGGTGTTACTAACTTATAATTTTATGATTCTAACTACTACCTTTTGTAGTTATGTGCCCTTTTCTTTCTTTGAGTTAATCCTGATCTAAAGATCATCATGATATGCCTTTCGTATATCACGGTGACCATATATAAAACGACGGATATGTAAATGTTATCAGGTTTATAAACACATTGAACGAAACATAAAGAACACTAGAGTTTTTAGTGTGTATTGATTGACGAAATACCCAGTCGGATCTTTCGTTGAGAGATAGCAGGATCAAGTGATCTTATGATGATGGAGTGCCTTGATAAAAATTTATGGACATCACATTCGTGTGTGCAACAAGAAGAAGCGTATTGCCTTGCTACCAACGAGATATACCGAGACAGCTCGCTAACTGAGGTGACGATCCGAGACCTGAATCGATACTTAGAGTGTCGGTCCTCTATAAAAGGATAACAAAAATCCACATATGCTTAATTAAACAAATAACTTGTTATGTACTAATATAATTTCATAAAAACAAAAATTCTATCGACAAATAAATCAAACTATCGAAGTTAATATATCAAAGGGTAATCAAGCTATCTACAGTTTTCTACCTCTTAATTATTAGAAAAACACGATTTCCTATTTATTTTTCGGCTGTGTGACTTGAAAATTCCAACGTAAAACGTGGCAGAAGAAGATGGTGCCGCAACCGGGAAAACGACAAAACACCCCCCACCCACCGCACTATTTAAATTCCCCAAAACCTGATAACTGACATCCCATTAACCTAGTCAAACATTTCTACATCGAATTGAAAACCACCACGTGTACTCATCTAGTTGAAAGTCACCGGCACCTGCCGGTGACCGGGATACGTGGCGCAATCCTGTTGGTAGATCGAACTCAAATTTAAAGGCATCCCTGAAGTTGACCGGTAGAAGAAGAAGAAGAAAACAGTAACAGTAATAATGTTCATTTATTACACGAAAAGTCGGAAACTGAATTTTCCCGAAGTAAATTTTCCCGGGAAATAAATGTCTTTCCGAGAAAACGCGTTTCTAGTCAATTCAGTGAGTGAAAACTGAAAACTGAAAAGTGAGAGACCAATAGGCGAACTTGGTCCTCGAACAGTTTCTCTTAGGTCACATAAGCCCCCAAATTGTATTTACGGTCAACGAAGTTCATTCACTAATCACTAACATAGTAATTAGTGGATCTATAAAGCAGTATTTGACTGATAGAAATGGTTAGCTTAAGAAGCTCAACCTATATTCAACCACAAAGATCATGTTTAAGACACCCTCATGTCCTTGGGGCTGCCTATAAAATTTCAATTGACCCGTTAATTTTGGATGATGTAGATCGATAATCAGGCTATCTATGTGAATTGATGATAATGAAGCATAAAGAGTAAAGAAGAACACGATTAACATGGTGCAATCAACTATAATTGTTGAGATTAAAGCGCGACACAAGACACATATCTCATTTATCTTCGTAAAATTTGTACACAACAAATTCTCTGCTAATGACCTTAATATATACAGTCGTGACGTTAACCAACTCTTAATATGAATATAAACACAATAATATTTATCTTCATGTTAATTTGATTGAGTTGTTGACTCTTAATTATGTTTGATGAGTTTCAATGACGTTACATCATATCATTTTAAATATTAAAATAATTCACATACAGTAAATAAAAAGAAGTTTTTTTATGAAAAAAGATCATTATTAATTGTCACGACTCACGAATGTTGAGATTAAGATCCAAACGGAGTCATTTATGAGGAAGTTTGGTGATCAACATGACATAAAATGAAAAGGTTGAGGGCTTATCAGTCATTTTTTGGCAAGTTGAAAACCAGAGAGGGTTAGGTTAATTACCTTCAAACCCTTCCCATGGCTGCCTGCTAATATAAAAGGAGCGCCGAAGCAGCTTGGAGAACTCAGAGAGCAAACACCGAAAAACCAAGTGAGGCAAAAACACTCTCCCCCTTTCCCCTCCTTCTTCTCCCTATTTTCTCAGCGACCAAACAATCCATTTTCCTTCAAAGTTCATCCCTTTTCTCCCCCTTCCGCAATTCCCCGCTTCTCTGTATCCCTTTCTGTCAGATCGTCTGTCTCTCAAATCGTCAATAAAAGGTTTTTCTCAAAGCTTTTTAACTTTTGATTGCCAGGTGATCTAACAGAATTGAGATCCAGTATCAAGTTTTCTTTTTTACTTTGATTTCTAGTTTTCCTTCAGCTTAAGAGGGTCGATTTTTGGTTCCCTCTGTAGTTAGGTTTAATCTTTTCTAGTTTTTTCATCACTTCCCCTGTTTTCCATTTCACCTCTGTTTTTTTTTTAATCTACAAACAGGCATGGCGGCAGCTATAGATATGTACAATAGCAGCACCTGCATAGCTTCTTCTTCATCTGATTTCTCAGATCCTTGTAGTGGAGAGCTGATGAGAGCACTTGAACCTTTTATGAAAAGTGCTTCTCCATCTCCATCTCCTTCTCTTTCCCCTTCTTCTTCTCCTTCTTCTTTTTACCCTAATTTTTATTCCCCTGAATCTCAATCGAGCTCTGCCCAATTGTTTTCACATGGGTACTCGACCTACAACCCCCAGATCTCCTATCCTTCCTCTTCCCTAGGTCTAAACCAGATTACCCAGTCCCAAATGCTCCAGATCCAAGCTCAGTTCCAGCTCCAGCAGGCGAATCTCGCCGCCACTCTGCAAACCCAGAGGTTCAGCAGCTTTCTCGCCCCGAAGCCGGTCCCGATGAAGCAATCCGCCGCGGCCGCGGCGGTGGCTTCATCGAAGCCGGTGAAGCTCTACAGGGGAGTGAGGCAGCGCCACTGGGGGAAATGGGTTGCCGAAATCAGGCTGCCCAAGAACCGAACCAGGCTCTGGTTGGGCACCTTCGACACCGCCGAAGAAGCTGCTCTGGCTTACGACAAGGCAGCTTACAAGCTGAGAGGCGACTTCGCCCGGCTCAATTTCCCCAACCTCCGCCACCAGGGAGCTCACGTCTCCGGCGAATTCGGCGAATACAAGCCCCTCCATTCCTCTGTTGAGGCCAAGCTCCAGGCGATTTGCCAGGATTTGAAACAGGGGAAAACAGGGGAGCCGGGTTCCAAGAGAGGTAAGAAGGCGAAACCCGCCGCGGTTTCGTTGATGAAAGTCGAGGAATCGTCGGAGTCGGTGAGCGAGGAGTCCTCTTCGAAGGTGGAAGAGTCCTTGACCGGATCTTCCTCTTCCTCCTCTTCCCCTGAATCGGAGATGTCGTTTTTGGACTTCTCGGAGACGGATTCCAGCTGGGGAATGGCGGAGAATTTCGGTTTGGAGAAGTTCCCTTCTGTGGAAATCGATTGGGCAGCGATCTGAAGAGTTTTTATCTGTTATGTAATCCTTAGTTTACCTTTTTTCTTATGCTCTTTTCTTTTGGTTTAGGCTAGTTCAGCAGCTATCTGCAATGGAGTTTTTGACAGTTGCAGAGGAGCGCTGATACTACATAGGAAGATGAAGATATGGTCCAAGTTGGGTTAATTTTTTTTCACCCGCTTGTGGCCTTGAGAAGATCTGAGGCTGAGGGTCTTTTCTCCTCACTTCTCTATTTGTAATTTTTTTCTTTTTTACCGTTAGGGTTTGAGGGATCATAAGCTTGGTAATTTTTATCGCCAGCTTTGATCGTTTCTTCTTTCACTTTGTAGTTTGTATCCTATGGGAGCTTCTGCTATTGTAGCTTTGTAATTAATTATTATGATTATTATTATCAAGCAGTGTTTGTTTGTAGTCGTTAATTATCTTGTAATTGTTGTTTTTATTTGCTTTTGGGAGTGTATAATTCGAATAATGCTCGATCTAACTTCCAATCAACTTCGCCATTTAAATAGGGGAATTGCTAGATACTTTCAAATCCATCATATGACATATATATCATACCACAACTACAATCCATGGATTTTGTGTAAGGGCTGCAAATGAGCCGAATTTTACCTCAGATTGAGCTTGACTTGTTAACAAATGAGTTGAGTTCAAGCTCGAGTCATTTATTAATCATTCGAGTTCAAGTTAGACTTATTTACTAAATTCTTAGATCGTATTTGATACATTCATTTTGTATGTCGTGTATGGTACATGTGATTGATGTAACGACAACATTAATTAATCTTATATTATAATTTGTAGGTGTCATAAAGTTTAGTTAATAAATTTTAACTAGTTCAAATCATGTTATTTCATAGTACCGAAACAATTTTGTACATAATTTCTTTATAGAATTAAAAATAAGGCATATTTTCTTACATGTTCAACATGTTAAACTTCACATGATGTGAGATATATAATTTAACAATCTTATGAATTATGAAAGTCCATATTAGTTCGATTCGTCCATAAGTCGGTGATAAAGTTGGCCACAAACCACAATGTTGAGACATCTCATGAGCTTTAAATGAGCCAACTCACGAGTTGAGCTCAACAGGTCACCGAGTCAGCTAGCTCACGAGCTTCGCGAGCTGAACAAAGCTAAGCTCAAGCTTGACTCGTTAGTAAACGAGTCGAGTTTCGAACGAATTTTGTCCGATTTGAGCCTCAAGTTGCTCGCGAGTAGCTCAGCTCATTTGCAACCCTAATTTTGTGACACTTTAAGCCCATAATACTTCAAAATCGATCTTACTACACCTTAAACCAAATTTATTTTGGAACACTTTAAGCCCATACTATCCCTATAAATTAAAAATCCATAACTCCAGTTGCTACAGGAATGTCATTAATTTGACCTAACAAAAATTTCGTGGTGTTGATTTCTTGGGGTCGTGCATTTTTCCTCCATGGCCGCATATACTACTAGAATGGGGTGGCTCAGGTAAAGAATGAAAACCCTATAAGAAAAGGCTTGAGAAACAAATGACGATGATTCAGTTAATCTAGAAGGTTGGAATCGCGGATCTTAGAGTCCGTGCTAGTTGACCTCGCTTGTCATTTAACTCAACTGATTTTGAAACACTTCGAGTAATGATGTTTGAGACGTATGTACCAGGAACGAATTTCATACCAGTAGCTTGAGTTTTAAAGGAGAACATCAATATTTGTGGGTAATCCGAATTTGATTTTCTTCCTTTTGAAATTCGACAAAAATCGAGCTAGTTAAACAAGAAAAACTAATTTATATCTCGCTCCTAACCCGACCGTAATCATCCTAGTTAGAGTTTAATCTAACCTAACTAGGGGGAATTCTTGATCAAAACGACTTTTGCAACCAATTAAGGGCATAGTAAGCTTTCTTAATCAAACAATAATTACAAATTTGTATGATGGCAACGTAAACACAACCCACCAATTGGAATCAAGTTCTGATCAAGTATTGCTTTGCTGTCATTAGGAATTTTATTACTTACCAAACCAACCTGTTTATTGGTTATATAGAAGAAACCCAGTTCGTTACTCAAAGTCAAAATCCAATTGCACGAAACCAAAAACTTTGATTGACATCTTTGAATTTTGGGGCCATGGAAAATCGTTCATATGCCCATGCTAAGTTCCAGAAGAGCAATAATGGAGGAGTGACTCAAATTATTGATCACATTCACACCCATATCTCAAAATGACTGTTTTGCTTTGAAAATAAGAGCACAGCATCTTACAGTTCCATTTCCATACCACCACCAAGGGCAACAATAGAATTTGATTGAATTTGCCCACACAAGTTCCAATAATTGCAGCATCTTGTCGGTCCAGGTTTCCAATCCAAGACTTGGAACATATATAAAATACAATTTGATTTTTGAAATTGGAGGGATTTCAGAAGAACTAGTATCAATGCTTTCGTTATAGAAAAATTATATAAACTGAAATTGTATTTTTATAATGTTACGGTATAATTAAATTTTGTGAATATACTTTTTGTATACATTTTTTTATGGTACAAATTCAATTTATAACTATATATTATTTTGTCAAATTCTTTTATGATACAAAACCAAACAAGTATTTTGACACATACGTTTTCGCATGTTATTGAGTGTTAAGTAAATTGTTAATAATTCAAATTGAAACAAAGCGTATTAACAAAGAGTATTTAGACCTAATTAACTGCTGCAAATACCAAATAGTACATCTTCCTTTTCTGAGGATGCTTTTTGCAGGAAAGAATACACCGATCATTTTGAGCTTTTCCGGTTATTCGAAATTCTCCCGGTTCTTGCCTGTTGTTGTTGGACCATCACGAATCCTTCCAAAAGCTGGCACTGTGAACCTTCTTGGCCTCTCCTTTTCTTTTTTGGCCTTTGATAATATCCTGAAAAAGATTTGGTTGATGATAAAAATGGAACAATGTGACAATAAAAGTGGGTGTGAAATGTGAAACGGGATTGGATTTTGCTTTGGCTGCAATCCTCCTCCTCAAAAGCCAAATTCAAAGGGCCCGTTAGGATAGATTGATGGATGGATGGATTCCTTGGAAAGTACTGCCAATGCATATAAAACAATTATCAACAAAAGACAAAAGGGAAAGAAAGAAAAGAATGAAAGAAAGGTCGTGGGTAGGAAATTTGTCAATTCGATGATTAGAGAGTCAGATATGTGTTCAATTTGATTATTATGTGTATAAATTTTAAATTGTGACAATGTGTTTCTAAGAATGCTGTGTTGTCGATCGGATCATTTTTATTAGACGCTTTGTGATTGTTGGATGAGTTTGGTGACAATTTTGTAAATAGAAAGTTATCGTATTTATTCATGATTTTTGGAGCTCCCAACACACATTAAACACCTTGTAAATTGTGAGCACGTTCTCAGAAGCGTCGTGTAATTACTATAACCGGATTGGATATGCTCAATTGCTCATGTCATATAAATGCAACGATATGATGCTCTTCATTCGACTTTGGCACACAAAGATCTCAACTTTACACGTTCTAATGATTTGTCACTTGCTTGTGCAGATTACTACATTCACACTACTTCAGCAAGCGTAAGCTGCTAAGACTTTCCTACATTCTTATTCTCCTTCTCCCCTTTGGGACAGTTGGAGGCTTGGAGCCTCCATTGATGGATATCTACCTTTGGACAGGTGGCATGTGATAGATTCCTATAAAAGTTTGGACCTAAACCTGACATTCGTGTAATATGGTCTAACAATAAGGTTAATCATCTGAATCGGTTAACTGATGTTATCGATAAAATTCGAATCTGAATATTCTACTATTCAACTTGAACCCGCTCAATTATAGATGCTACATATTTTATCTTTCTTTAAAGACTTTATTATATCTCTCTGAAATATTTGACATTGGTAATACATACATAACATCCCAATGAATTTTTTCTTGTCTTTTTCATTGTTTCTCTTAAGATTGGTGGCTTGTAATTGTAATGTTTTCACTTGTATAATGTGAATATACTTACAGATAGTGACACATTAGATGAAGTTTGGATATCCATGGTTAATCGAGATCCGAACGGGTATGAATATGATTTTGATTCAGTACCCGAATTTTGTACGGGTATGGTTATGAATAAAACCTGAACTAGTTAGAATAGGGTAGTGGGTATGTACTATCCATCTCTGATCTGACCTGTTACCATCACTAAACGAGGATATTTCCCTGCCAAGGCCATTGAGGTTGTCAAGACGGGAAGGAAACCTTGGCCTTTTGAGGTTGTCATCACCTCGACGACAATGCTAGGTAGCTAGGGATGGTAATGGGTCGGGTTGGGGCGGGTTATACCAAACCCAAATTCAAATATAAATTTATGGGTTTATCCACCAAAAAAATTCGGGGTAAAACCCATTGGATTTGGAAAACTCAAATCCAACCCAACCCGCTGGGTATCCGCGGGTTCATGGGTACCCATGGGTTCATGTACAAAGATGCAATAACACTAGTTTTCACTACTATTGTCTACTACGTACACACTCACTCATAAATCATTCATACTAATTGTTCAATATTAAAGGTAAACATCCACAAACAATATGATTAAATGAACGTGCGAGAAATTAGTTTAGAAATTATAGTTAATTAGTTAAGGGTTCCGTGGATCGTAGGGCATGGACTTGGGTGCGGGTATCCGTGGATTGGATATGGCTAAACCCAAACCCAACCGCAAAAGGTATAGCGGGTTTAAACCCGAACCCGACCCACAAACCGTCAAAATGGGTTGGGTCGGGTAGGGTACCCACGGATTCAGGTTCTATTGCCATCCCTAATGCTAGGGGCGCTAGGTAGCCCAACCCATGACCTAGGTTGGACGTCAAGGTCTTCAAACCAATACCGTATCTATATGATTTTGGCATCGGTAAACTCATGTTTCTGTTGAAAGAGGTAAACTCAGTTTTTAGAGTGCATGTTATGCACATAACTCAATAATCGTTATCCTGATAGATGATTTATGTCAAAGTGATGTCAATCTTCAAGAAAAATGTATGATTTGTAAAAAACCATTTAAAATTTAGAATACCATCAATTTTGTGGATGCATAGTAAAAGTGGCCCAATGCAGCCCAGAATTTTCCTAATGCATATGACATTTGGGCTTTAGTTTGAGGTCTAATTAAAAAAACTATACCAATTACACTCCAT